CGCTAGTCGAGTGTAAAAGGTTTATTAATGCATCTTTTTCTTTTTTAAATAATTTTAATAAATCTTTTCTAAGAGTAGTTTTTGAAGTGAACTGTGCATTAGGATTGTGTACAACCTTAATATATCGTTGCCAATTAGGATGCTCTACAAAACTAAGTGGTTGATCTAAAGCAGCTATCATTCGCGCAACTTCCATACGATCTACTTACGGATTGTATTTCCAAGTGGTTAGACCACCGGTTGCGCGATCAAAAGATAATTGTGTTTGGCGGAGTTCGGGTCCGCTAGATTGGCTAAACTTTTGAAGACACTTTTCGGAGTGTTGTCTCAAGTGTGTGGTGTCGTGAATAGTGTCACCTTATAATTTAGATAAACAATATTTACACTGAGCTATATGTTTAGTGTTACCTTCATTATCCACCTCGTCAATTATGTCGAAGTGATCCCAAATTGTCGAGGTACGCTTGCATTTCCTCCTGGAGGTTGCAACACTTGCCGACGCAGACGCAGTCGCACTCGCCGCTTCTCCACGCCCACCACCACTATTGCGACCACGACCTCCAGTACATCCACCAGGGCTCGGATTAGTAGATTCCTGCATAACAAACTCATTAGTGGGAAATTACCCTTCTTCTACATTCTGTTGGGCATCAACGGGAATACCACTATAACCAAAAGGATCCATTATAAAAAAGATAAGATGGATTTGAAAGAGAGAGCTTTAGGATAATGTGATAGTTTTTAGAAAAATTGTGAGAGAGATTGAGAGAGATTGAGAGAAATTGAGAGAGATTGAGAGAGATTGAGAGAAATTGAGAGAGATTGAGAGAAATTGAGAGGGATTGAGAGAGTTTGAGTGAGACAAATGTGTGGGGGATGGGGGGTATTTATAGGAAAATTTTGGGGTTAAAAAATGATTTTTTTAAAAAAAAAAAATCAGGATATAACAGCTATTTTTGATTTTCGGGCAGTCGGGCAACTCGGGCAGAATTCGGGCAAAAATTCAAAAAACTAGCCGTTTTCGGGTAATTCGGGCAAAATTCAAAAAGTAGCCGTTACGTGCATTTCGGGCAGTCAGGTATTGGGCATTTTTCGGGCACTTCAGGCACACGGCATTTTCGGGCATTTTTTGGGTCGGGCAATTCGGACAGTTCGGGCATGGTCGGAAAAATTCAAAAAAATTCCGGCGGACGGCGGTAAACGGCGATTAGACGGCGGCAGGCAAAGGTGAAGATGCAAAATTCGGGCTGCCTGAGCCTGAACCCAAAAATCAACTCTGGGCGGGCGGACAATGGGCTTGCCTGCCCGAGCCCGAAAAAATTTGGGCTTCGGGCAGCCCGCCGACCCGAACTTCTAGCACTACTTGTAACCAGACCGAAGTGAAATTTGAGAGCTGGTAATAAGTGGTTGTTCTCCACAGGTCAGGTACTTTACCCTCACTTTTCTCTGTTCATCGTATTTATTTGAAAGAAAATTGTACCAAATGACCCGTTCAAAAAGTTGCATAATTTTTCATTTTTACTATATTCTTTCTTCTTTTTTTTTTTTTTTTTTTTTTTTTTTTTTTTTTTTTTTTTTTTTTTTTCATTTTTTCTCCTTCTTGATATAGGTGATTCAAACCTACTTGAGAGTAAAAAAATATAAGACCGAGTGTAAATAATATTTTTTGCATTTTTGCCCTCTTGTCATGCAAGTGACCCGTTTGAAGGCTCTAAATTCTCTAGAGTATTCTTTAAAGGTTGGAATCAAGTAGAATACTTTAGAACATCTCAAAAAAATCAAGACCCTTTGGAGGAAGGTTAAACTTTCTAAAATGTTCCGCAATGTTTTAGAAGGTTCTACAATAGTGTGGAATGAGCCTAGAAAGATCTAGTACTTTCTAGAAGACCCCAGAAGCCATTAGAAGTCTCTAGAAGTTCCAAGAGTACTCTAGAACTTTCTAAAAGCTTTAAATACATGCAATGTGCTAGTGGGTTATAGAAGTTTCTAGATATGAATAGAATTTCCTAAACTTGTACAAATGTTAAAAAGCATATTAGAAGTTCTAGGCTTGTCATCTTTCCACAAAGTTTTAGAATGTCCATTAGAAGGCCTCTTGGCCTATAAATAAGATGAAAGATCCTAATTTGGGACCAACCAAGAGAACTACCACACTTTACACTCCTTTTCTTGAATTAGTAGAGTTCTCTTCCATCAAAGCTTTTATTCTTTGTTCTCTAATTCTTTCCCTATCTGTTTGCCTAAATATTTGGGGTTAATAATGCTGACTTAGCATTAGAGAAGTACTAAGTGCCGCACGGTCGCGTTGCAAAAAAAATTGGGTTGACAATTGGTATCAAAGCCGAGCGATTGAAATGCATGAGGGCATGCAACTGCCGATCATCAATTAAGAACAGGAGTAGCATAAAGCCGCGTATACACCAAGCACTCACGTGGGAGCGAGCAGGTAGGGTAGCAGGTTTCTTAGACTACGCCAAGCACCCACAACAAAGCGAGCAGGTAGGGTAGTGCATTTCAGTTGAGGTTAGAGGTGGAGAGTGCCACACCATTATTTTTATGGTGACAACGATGGGATCGGTAAGAATGTCTAATTGTAGAAAACATAGCGAAGATAACTTGTTTGTGTGCTTGCTCAAGTAGAGGAGGTTAAACGGGTGATGAAGAAGATTTCAACTTGATGTGGACTAGAGCAATACTTTGGGGTTATGGGAGTTCAACAAATGAGACGCGGCATCTTCATCGCGAGCTTAGGTAGGGGAGAATGTCACGAACCGCGCATTTTTGCCCCATTGTCACATAGGTGACTCATTTGATGGCTCTAAATTCTCTATAGTATTTATTTAAAGGTTGGAATCAAGCAGAATACTCTAAAACATCTTAGAGAAATCAAGACCTTTCAGAGAAAGGGTGAACTTTCCATAATGTTCCGAAATGTTCTAGAAAATTCTACAATAGTCTGTAATGACTCTAAAAAGATCTAGAACTCTCTAGAAGACCCCGAAAGCCATTGGAGGTCTCTAAAAATTCTGAGAGTACTCTAGAACTTTCTATAGCTTTGAGATACATATAATGTATTAGTGGGTTGTAAAAGTTTCTAGATACTAGAATGTCTATTAGAAGGCCTCTTGGCCTATAAATAGGATGAAAGATCCTCATTTGGGACCAACCAAGAGAACTACCACACTTTGTACTCATTTTCTTGAATTAGTAGAATTTTTTTCCATCAATGCTTTCATTCTCTTGCTCTTTTCCTATCCATTTGCCAAGTATTTGGGGTTAATAAGGCTGACTTAGTATCAAGGAAGTGCTAAGTACCACGCGGTCATGTTGTAAAAAAATCTTGCCGTTACAATACACTTGCTGCAACTTTCTTCATGGATTCTTTTTAGTTAGCTTTACAAAATGCATATGCCTAAGACCGTTTGGTCTAGTGATACCTGAGGGGTTTGAGGAGAGGATCCAAGTTTGATCCCGTATTTTATATATATATATGCAGAATAAATGATTTCAAAGTCCAAGAAAAAGTAAATACATATTGAAGGCATTAAATAAGAACGTCTCTTTTCACTATCTTTCAGAGGGTTCTTGATAGCGAGAGGGGAACACACCGATCCCGAAATAACAATAATTTTGATTTATACTAACAACAGCAATTCCTTTAGTACACACGTCAAGTTAAACGAGGAACTTTTTATTCAGAACAACACAGCAAACCAAAGACAATTTCTAAGTCGATATCCTAAACAAGCATACGACAGATCTACCACATTGTACGACCTCAATAAACATGCTCCCTTGGTGAGAAATAAAAACTCAACCACTCTTTTTAACTTTTATATTCACCAAATCAAAGTACAGCTTTACTTTTATGACATTTTAACATCTTACTGCAAGAACTCTCTTGGGTCAGTGACATAGCCAGTCAATGCAGATGCTGCTGCTGTGTATGGCGAAGCAAGATATATCTGGCCTTCCTTGTGTCCCATTCGTCCTGGGAAGTTACGGTTGGTTGTCGACACACATACCTGTGGTGCAAGGACTAACCCCAGTCAAATAGTTGTAAAATGGAGCATGTACTGAGTATAACATATCGGAGGATTGATTGTCGACCAGAATAATCAGATTCGACCAGAGTATGTATAAATAGTAGCAAAAGAGTTCGTGTTTATTCATTCCTATGCTGTTCTAACAATAGAAGTAAATACGATAACTTGCCTTAGGTTCATTCATGCGGGCGTATGTGTCTTTTGGACCACCCAAGCAAGCACCGCAACTAGGACTTGCGGGTGTATCACAACCAGCTTCCTCAAATATCTGGGAACAAGTCTTTCCACCGGATCCCGGTACCGGAAGAGTATAAATGTCCAGCCAAACCTGTAAATTAAGTTGATTTACATAAATTTCTTCCCATCACAAAAATCCTACATAGCACAAAACTTCAAGTTGAGAATGACAAACCTTTTGGGTGGCAGGGACAAGGAAGGTTGGAACTTTAACCTTTTTGCCCTGTAGATAAAATAAAACAAACACATCGTTCAGCCTAACCCTAAAAAAGGGAAATGGGAATTCAGCAAAATACATTTGAATGTAGTCATTGATGGAAATTACTGGTAGGATTTTATCAGAATGATTTCACAGTGCCATCACCAGATAGTTGGAAACCATTAAAAAAGTGCTAATCATATCTTAAAAACCTAATCCCATAACTACAACACTCCATCTTGCTCTCATGAAAGAAACAATGCACGACTCTATGCATTAAGGAAGAAAAGCTGCTCAATAAGACCTAACTGCAAACAAGTATACTAAGATGAAAATCAATTTGCACAAAGTGCTGGTATCAAACGGAAACATGGACAAGCAGAAGAAAGTAGTAGAGATATGACTTCTTACAGACGCTAGAAAAAGTTTTGCAGCAGCCATAAAATCCTCTGTTTTACCACCAGTACAAGATCCGATATAGACTCTATCAATTTTCACGTCTTTGCACTCTCTTGCTAAAGCACGATTATCAGGAGAATGAGGCTGAAAATACAGGTTTATCAATTAGTCGGAATGAAAATATATATTAGCAATCTGTGAAGAACCAAAGATACTCTGTGCTGTAAGAAATTAAATTTATCCCTTGACATAGGATTGATAACTAAAAAAAAGCATGCAGAACTTTTTCACCTTTGCTACCAATGGCTCCAGTTTTGAGATGTCAAATCTGTACTCGGAAAGATACCTAAATGCAAACAAAACATACTTGTGAATAGAACTGATTTGAGAACTTTTCCAACAAATAGATAGACATAAAATAATCGTAGAAGAACTCAAAAGTTAGTCAATTATTAATTCACTTCCATTCCGAAACAAGTTCCAATAGAGAAAAGTACAACAAATCCAAACTAGGAAATCAATAATAGATAAGTAGAAGTCATCCAAAGTAATTGTGGAAAAGAATGAGGAAAAATATTATATTAATTCCAATAATTTACACAAGAAGGGCTATATATACACGAGTTAGATAAACTCATAGGATAAAAGAACTTATCCCTAATTCTGTTGTTAGCCGGTCACTTAGAATCTAGGAAATAGATAATCACATGATCCCTAGCCCTAGCCAGTCATAATCCTTAGGAGATAATGCTTGCTTCTAGAAGATAATGTTAAAGATAATGCGGTTATTTTCCACAGTAATCAATATTGATTACCTTGCTTGTGCATCACTATACACAGGCTCATAGGGTACAGATGTTTTATCCTGCGCAAAAAAGAGATGAAAGTTAAAAACAAAGCCAGACTGCATAAATGTACCACATAATGAAACAAAAATATAGAATAGAAGCATAAAAGATTAAGAGAACAAAAAATTGATAGAATACAACCAAACACCTGTGACAAGAAAAATATATATGATGAGGCTTAGTTTTGAAATATCTATATGTGTGTGATGTGCGTTCTCTTTTTTTGTTTTTTTGGTGAGTGTGTGTGTGTGTGTGAGGGAGAATGTCGACTAAATCTCACATGATAATCTAATGAACTTACCTCCAAGTATTTGTAAGTAGTAGTATCTGCAGGGACAAGACCATTCTTTCCCCCAGCTTCCACAACCATGTTGCACAAAGTCATCCTCTCTTCCATCTGTCGAGGGAAGATGATTAGTACAATTGAAGTTAAGTTTTTAAGACCGAAAACATGGAGTTTTCTCATGTCCTTGAAGTGAAAAATCTTTTGTAGTATCTTACATTTAAACTTTCGACGGTTGTGCCGACAAACTCCATAGCTTTATATGTTGCACCAGCAACAGATATTTCGCCAATAATCTGCAACAATGGAATTCATTATCTTTCTTCTTCTTCTTCTTTTTTTTTTTTTTTTTTTTTTTTTTTTTTTAGATAACTTAGGGTGTCTAGACCTCTTTCAGCACCTGACTAATCCCTAAGGGTGTGTGTAATCCCTAAGGGTGTGTGTAGACCCTCCTATCCAAACACACCGGGACAAACTGAGGGAGGTACCCCAATGGGACTCGAGCCCAAGACGTCCCGCTTGTAAGGTGAGGTCCTGGGGGTTGCTTAAGTGGCTAATGCATTATCAAAACAACAAAATGGTAATGTAATCTCGCAAAATCAAACTCCATAGCTTTATATGTTGCACCAACAGCATGATTTCAGTGAACTTACTTGCAAAATCAAATCTTTGGCCATAATGTAATCTGACATTTCACCATCCATTATGAACCTCAGAGTAGGGGGCACCTGCAAATTTAAAGAGGAAACACGGATAATTATAATTATATCAAAAAAGAACTGAAATAGCACAAAAAAATAACTCTGCAGAATATTACTCGTAACCATCACAAGGAAATTGTTAGGCCTCCTATTACGTTGGTCTATTCTAGGAAGAGGGGCAGGAAGGGAATACCGCAGGAAATAAGGGAAGGAAGTGGAATTAGGAAAAGAGAGGCTGACGTGTCGAGTTAGTTATAAGTTGTTAGCTAAGAGGTATTTAGGCAGGAGGGTGGGACGTGAGGCAGGTGGTCTGGTAATTGAGTATTTTTCTGTTTCAGACCTTGGAGGCTGGGAACCTCGAATTCTCCCATTTCTATTTTTCCTTGGTTCATTTCTATTTCCATTTTCTTTCCTGTAATTCTCTAAGAGGAATTCACCTAACTCGGAGATCTTGTTAGTTGAATTAATAAAAGGGACCTGTCTAAATTTCTAGAGAATCCACTTGCTTCCATTTGTGAATCATTGAACTGTGCAGGAACGCAACAGAAATATGGTAGAACATGCATATCTAAGAAATGGTATCTGTCATCCTCCATTTTTTTTTTTTTTTTTTTTATCTTGCACTACATTCTTTGTTTTCCGCATAAATTTAAAATTTCTTATTTAAGAAACCTATGACAAGTTCTGGTTGATATTTGTGAACATGTAGCAAGAAACAAAATCAAGAACTTCCAATTGCAACAACTATGTCATGAAAATTTTCAAGGATCTGATGTTGGAAAATGATACAGATCAAAGAAGAGACACAGCTAAAGGATGTTAGATCCTGCATTACAACTAAAATGGAAGAAATTTAGGGGGGGGCAAAAAAAAAAAAGAGCAAACCACAAGTTCAGTACCGACCACTGAAATTTCCATATCAAACATGCATAAAAGTAACAGAAAAATTTCATAAAAAACAACTCTCTCCCTTGTAATCAAATTATAAGCTTAGCTAATTGTAGATCAGATTACCTCAGAAAGTTGTGCTCTATCACTATCCTACCGTAAGTTGATCCTCAACGAATTTCATAACAGAAAACTTAAGAGACGAAAGCACCAGGACTACAATGGAAGCTAAAGAGGGAAAAAGGGCCAACCTTAAAAGTGACTTGACATCTATAATAGAAGCGAAGAATAAAATATCTATATACACCTATGTATGCAGAATCATATACAATATATGCATTGTGTTTGCATTTATGTATGCACGTATGAATAAATGGATAAAAAACTAAAACTTCATCAATTACAAAACCTTGAGCAGAAGCTTCCCAGTGCCCAACACAAAACCTGCATCAGTGTTTCCAATTCCAGTAGCAAATTGGCCAAAAGCCCCAGCGGTGCAGGTGTGAGAATCTGTACCTAACAGGACCTGGAAACCATGGTAGAGTTTTAATTGCTCTACATGGATGTCACATAACTATTTTATGAAAAAGGTACAAATAAATCATCTAAAACTGAAGAAACTGCACCTCTCCTGGTCTGCAATGACCTTCTTGAGCAAGTGCAACATGGCATACACCTTTATAATCCGGGTTAGCCTGCAAAGTATAAATGAAGCCCATTTCAACATTAATAACCAAGAATAAAAGGCATTAAAGTAGAACAGCAAAGGCGCATAATTGTGAGACTAGCTAGCAAGTAGCAACCCATACCTTAAAATTACTCAAATCTTTGATATCATAGAAGTACTTGATATTTTGTTCAGTGCAGAAATCCCGCAAGATGTCCACATTGCGATTTGCACGTTCATCGCTTGTAAATATATAGTGGTCTGGTATGATTACAATCTTTTCACGGTCCCAAACCTTAATTTCAAAACAATTAGCGACAATATTAGAGGAAAAAAAATCATTCACAATCTAACTTGTATCATCAATGGAAACATAAAACAAATATATATTTAAAAAATCAAAACCGCAAGAACAATGTGATCTCGTTGAGATTTACTAAACGAAATCTCCCAACTTCAAAACCACTTTTTTTAATTATTTTTTTATAAGCTTTAAAACTATGGACCATTTCTCGAATTTTTGCTTGTCATCCTTCCGCATGGCATGCAAATCATCTCTCTATTATTCCAATTTTATTCCAAAACCACATTATACTCACTAATCAGAAAGAAAAATTAAATTTATCATATTTCTCAAATTTTCTAAAATGAACTACTCAAGCATTAACTTTCTGTTCCAACATTACAGTGACATCAAAAACATTTCAGCTACTTCAAATCAATTCAGTATAAACTTGTTCAACACCACGTATTCAAAAACTTAACCCAAATTCTTACACAAAGAGGTAAAGAAATCAAATACCTTAGCATCCTGGCCGAACTCTTTCTTGAAAATTCCAATGGAACCAGGGCCACAAACATCGTGGGTCATCAAAATATCAACATTAACCCAAACATTCTCCCCTGGGCTCAACTGGGGTTTCTCAGAAGCCCTAGCCAAAATCTTCTCCGTCATCGTCATCCCCGTCTTAACCTAAAAAAAAAAAAAAAAAGGAACCAAACCCATCTTCAAAAACCACAAAACAAAAATACCCATTAACGTAAATATATGTACATATATACATATCTATCTAACCGAGCCAGTGGTGGCGGGCTTGCGCTCCGATTGCTGAGGCGCCATGACGGAGCAAATCTTCTTCGAGACTGTTGTTCTCTTGCATCTCTGAATCGAAAATGGAGACGACGAGGACAAAGCAGAGAAGCCCAACTCTTTCTGGGATTCAAAAAAGAAACAAAATATAAACGAGCGTCATCAAAATTTTTAGTGGGAAAATGAGATCATTTATGGAAAGTAAAGAAATTGACCTTGTTGATGAAAGGAGCTGAAGTTGGGGCAATTGCAGACGAAGCCATAAGTTAATTTCGGCGAATTTCTGCGAAGAGAATGAATAAGAAGTAAACAGTGAATTGATTGGCAATGTTTGTCTCTGTGTGTTTGGGTTTGTTGTTGTTCTGAGTTTAACTTAACAGAGGCGGCGGCGGCGAAACTCAGAAGTGAGTGGGAAAGCTTGGCTTTGACCGGGATTTATGATATGAGTCGGAGATTGTATCGAATCAGATGCCGCTCGTTGGACGTGTCACGTTGCAAAAATAATGCACTCTCTTTACAAAAATTTCCCTAAATATTGTTTTTTGTGTCAATTTGCCCCCAACCTCTCCAAACGTGCCAACCACACACCATTGTCCCCCTGTCTAATTCCCTCCAGAAAAATTGATAGAAACCTCGGATGTTTTCAATATAAAAGAAGCTTTTTTGAACCCTTTATAATGTTCCTCTGTGACCCCTTCCTTATTTTCTTCCATATAGGGATAGGGATGTGAACAACCATTTGTTGGGTAGTGAGGTATGTGGGGAGCTGAAGCTCGCAACCTAAATAATAATCTCATTCAGTGTGAAAAGTATATAGTTAAAATTCATCAATAGATTCTAAATTTTTTTCTCTTGTAGTTAATTTTATCTCATAAATAGTTCTTAAATATAATAAGGGCATGTTTACTTATCAAGAATAAGGAATGAGAATTGGGATTCAGAATCAGCTCTATGTTTACTTACCCATTTATGTCTTAGAATGAGAGTGAGAATGTGTGGGCCCCACACCAATTTAGAATTGAGAAATGAGATTGACACTCCCCACACCCCCACCAGATTGTCACTCCCAATCTTGATATTAAATACAAAATTACGAATTTACCCTTAATTTTTCTCTTTTATTTAACTCTTTAGAGTTTATTTCCTCCTTTTTCTCTCATCCATTTACCATCCTCTCTTCCCCTCTTCTTCTTCTGCCGTGGTTCTTCAATTTACAAGTAAGCCATAAATCATCCTCTATTTTTGTTTTTATTTTGCTTTTTTTTATTTTTATTTTTTTGTTGAACACGTAGTTTTGTTGAACATGTAGTTCCCCTCTTCTGCCGTGGTTCCCTTAATGCTTCTAGCTTTTCAGTTTTTTTCCTTCTAGAGTACTAGAACAGCAAAGCTAGTACAGCTTTTCATCCTCTATTTTTGTCTTCTAGCATTTTTTTCCTTCTAGAGTACTAGAACAGCAAAAACAATGGCATGTTTACGAGTACTATAACATGTAGTAATGCTTCTAGGTTTTTTATCCCTCTTTATTTCTTTAAATTCTTATATTTATTTTATTTTAGGAATTTCTACTATAAGATTAGAAAATTGAAACTATCAATAATTTTTATCTCTCTTTTTTTCTCGTGATTCTAGTACTCTAGTTTTTTATTTTTTTTATTTTTTATAATTTGATTCTTGTGTTATGCCTATTGTTGTTCATTTTTATAATATACAATGTGGTACTAAATATAATTTTATATGTTGATAATGTAGAGTAATCATGTCTAGACTTCTAGTACGAAAGAAGAGAGTGGTTGTAGTGATAAAAGAGATAGTTATGATGTTACAAATGATTATGGTTGTGTGTGCTGCTATGTGTACCTATGTTTCTTTTTATTATGAGCGAATGATACAAAGTCCAAAGATGGTTATAAGGGTTTATCAACAATTAGGTCATTTGTATGATTTGGTTTACGAGAGTGATATCAAGTGTGTGGCACAATTAAGAATGGATAGAGAAACATTTAGAAGATTATGCAAGCTTCTATGCGAGAAAGGAGGTTTGACAAGCACAAGAAATGTATCTATTGAGGAGATGCTTGCAATGTTTTTGCACATCCTAGCACATCATGTTAAGAACAGGGTGATTAGTTTCAATTTTAAGAGATCCGAAAGAACGATTAGTAAATGTTTCCACGAGTGTTTAAAAGTAATTATTCGGTGTCAAAAGGAATTTTGGAAAAATCCAGAACCAGTTTTGGAGAACTCAACTGACCCTAAATGGAAGTGGTTTAAGGTATGTGTTCTCTTTTTTTATCATTTTGAAAAAATTTGTTTTGAATTATATTTGTGTTCTTAAAATTTTATGCTTCTTTTTCATAACAATGTAGAATTGTTTGGGAGCATTGGATGGAACGTATGTAAGAGTTCGTGTGCCGGAGGCAGACAAATGAAGATATAGAACAAGGAAAAATGAGATTGCTACTAATGTTTTAGGAGTTTGTTCACAAGACATGCAATTTATATATGTCCTACCGGGATGGGAAGGTTCAACGCACGATATGCGTGTGTTAAGGGACGCAGTGACTAGAAGAAATGGTTTAAAGGTTCCTAACGGTAATTTTATACAACAACACTAAATTTTTTTTAATGACATTATATTGTTTGTATATTATCTATTTGCTCATTGTTTAATATTGTTACTTTTTATATTGGTTGATAGGTTATTACTACTTAGTAGATGGTGACTATAGTAATGGGACCGGTTTTCTTGCACCATTTAGAGGACAACGTTACCATTTAAGTGAGTTTAACAATAGAAACCAACCAACTTCGGTGGAAGAGTTTTTCAACATGAAGCACTCAAGTGCTGGGAATGTTATTGAGCGGTGCTTTGGATTATTGAAAATGCGATGGGCTATACTAAAAACTCATTGCTTTTATGACATAAAAATACAACGATAAATAATTTCTGTCTGTTGTATGTTACATAACTTTATTCGAAGAGAAATGGCTTATGACCCTATGGACATTGTGTACGATAATGATCCAGCACAACAATTGAACAATGAGACGGAGTTTATCGATTCCATCGAGACATCTACCAAGTGGACTACATGGAGACAAAATTTGGCACAAGAGATGTGGACTGAATGGCGAGCAAGTAGAGAATAGGATTAAGGATTGACTTGTTTGAGAATATTTTTATTATCATTTTTGTGCATTGAGCACGTTATATTGGCATGTTATTAATGTTACATACTATTGTTATGGAATTCTTCAATTTCAAGATTTATACAACTTTGTTATATGGTTTAGTTATATTTTATACATGACTTGTTCATTTCTTGTTTAGAATGAGTTCCATTCCAGCTTCTTCAACTTAAAGAGGACAAGGTCTAAACAAGCATTATTAGACAACACAACAGGATGACACACTAATAGAGGCATTGTTCGAATTGAGTCAAAATGCGATGTGGCAGGCTGATTGTGGTTTTAAAAATGGGTATTTACTTCAATTGGAGACTATGATGGGACCAAATTACCAGGTTGTGCCATCAAAGCATCTCCTCATATTGAATCTCGTGTGAAATGGTTTAAGCAAAAATATTGTGCAATGATAGATATGTTGTCTCTTAGTGGGTTAAGATTGGACAATGATAAGATGATATTACAATGTGAAAAAAATGTGTATGATGAGTATGTTAAGGTACGTGTAATAAACTTTTTTCACAATGGTTGATACTTGGTTATTATTTAGTGAATTAACAAATGTTATTTAACTTGTTTAACATAAGCGAAAAGATGCTGCTGGTTTATATGGAAAACCTTTTCCTCATTATTACACTTTGGGTGAAATTTATGGATGTGATCGAGCTATAGGCATTGGTGCTGGAAATGCAGATGATGATGAGGAAGAGGTCCGCCAACAAGATACCATGAATGTAAATTTGGGTGTTGACTCAAATATGAATGCATTTGAAGAGAATTTCATGGAAAATGATATGTGCTGCAATCAGCAACAAAGTGTTCAACAGGGCCAACCATCTGAAAGCTCTCCAAGCGTTTCCACTCGCAAGACAAAGACCAAAGGTAAAAACAAAGACAAGATATTTGAGAATATGTGCTCCAACATTAGGTTGATGGCTAAATCTGTGGCAGCAATGGTACCCAGATTAGATGGTCTTATTGATGTGCTTTCCACTGCTGACAAGGATTTAGCTGGATTACAAGCCAACTTGTATCAAGAAATACTGAAAATTGATGGCTTAGATGATGATCAAGTTCATGATGCCACCAATATTTTAGCAACAAAGTATGATTTGCTACATGTATTCTACAACATTTCAGATCAACTCAAGAAGGGATACATCCTCAAAATTCTTAGTCGTGGGGTTTAAGTGTTAGATTAGCCAATTATTAGTTTACTTAAATTATGTTGGTACTTTGAATTATGCTTAGGATATATTTTTCGATTTATGACTTGGAACTTCTTTTTGAAAGTTATATGAATGCATTTGAAGAGAATTTCATGGAAAATGATATGTGCTGCAATCAGCAACAAAGTGTTCAACAGGGCCAACCATCTGAAAGCTCTCCAAGCGTTTCCACTCGCAAGACAAAGACCAAAGGTAAAAACAAAGACAAGATATTTGAGAATATGTGCTCCAACATTAGGTTGATGGCTAAATCTGTGGCAGCAATGGTACCCAGATTAGATGGTCTTATTGATGTGCTTTCCACTGCTGACAAGGATTTAGCTGGATTACAAGCCAACTTGTATCAAGAAATACTGAAAATTGATGGCTTAGATGATGATCAAGTTCATGATGCCACCAATATTTTAGCAACAAAGTATGATTTGCTACATGTATTCTACAACATTTCAGATCAACTCAAGAAGGGATACATCCTCAAAATTCTTAGTCGTGGGGTTTAAGTGTTAGATTAGCCAATTATTAGTTTACTTAAATTATGTTGGTACTTTGAATTATGCTTAGGATATATTTTTCGATTTATGACTTGGAACTTCTTTTTGAAAGTTTATGACTTAAAACTTAGTTATTTTGTTCTTATTTTATTTCATCATCATATTCTTTTCTTGAAATTGAGTTAAAATTTATTGAGAAAAATAACTTAGATGATTAATTAGGTGTGATTAAAAATATCTAATTACTAGTTAGTTATTCTAATATTAAGATAGTTAGCATAATATACAATTTTTTTTTTTTAAGTTCAACACACAAAAATCTACTAAAGGGTAAATTTATAACAGTTTATTCCGATTCTGAGTGTAAGTAAATGCATGAATATGATTAGGATTGATTCCGATTCTAATTCCTGGAATCTAAGTAAACAACTTATTTTGACTCCGATTTCTGACTTTGATTCCTACTCACTCTGAATCATGTCCACTCCGATTGATGCCCACTCCGATTACGGATAAGTAAACATGTCATAAGTGTCTCATAAATAGTCACTCTCTTAGATTTTAGATGAAAATCGTTAAATTTATCTCAAAAATGGACTTTAAACTTTTTCTCTCTTTAAAAATAGTTATTTATATTAAAAGTTGTACTAAATTTAATCCATAAACCTAAAAATGACAAAATTAGTTAGTTTGTTAATAAATAGATGTAAAAAATTTAAAATATGAGAAGTTGTACCAAATGTAGTCCCCAAACTAAAAAAAAAAAAGTAATGCTATAAACACTTATTAA